ATAAAATCTTCCAATTTGTAGCATTCTTTCTATACATCACATAATCGAAAAAATTTCAACCGTGAAACACTTGTACTTGAGTAAATAGGCAAAGGTGGATATCGACCGACTGATACTGCTCCTATGAAAGCAAAGATGCATCAAAGTGCATGAAGAGTATACATCATACAATTAATTTTTCATATTCTGCATATGGATCACTTATCCACTTCGCATCGGAACTACTATACATATCAACTTATCGCATCGAATCTATTATATTCCGCACTTCTAAATTTTTCCACGAGCGTTCCCTCGTAAGTAAAAGCATGAAAAAAGTAAAGAGAGAGAGAAAACTTCCCATATCACCGGATACATAATTAATTATTGCACTTTACGCTTATTGTATAAGTGGTTGTTTTTTATTGCACGTATTTTACTCTCGTTGAGAGTTCTATGCACATTTGAATTTATTCCATCCGGCTTCACATCGCACGATTATGAGCTGGCAAACAGTCGAGAACCAATATTTCAGAGATATGAAATTTTTCGGGCAGCTAGCCGGTGTGTGGCCATGTCAGGAAAGATTTGCTAAATTGTCTGTGCTACTTTTTTCATTCCTTGTGGTGACTCTTTCATTTCTAAGCATGGTATTCTTTTCTTCTTCGTGATAGATGATGTTTCTTACCCTCTTCGAGCAATAGAATGTTTGATGTGAATCGTAATGGCAATGATTTTTCTATATGTTATAGATGTCGCGGATAATAGTATTTTACAGTACGGACGTGCTATTCCAAGGGTTGGTGTATATGGATACAGCTATAAGCGTTTTATTTAAACAATATCATTACGTCCTGAATGCGAAGAAGGTGAAAAGCCAGTGAAAATTTTAAATTATGATAATAATTATCTTTTTCTTTAAAATTGTAGATAGAGGAACTTTTAAGTGAAATCGTGGTCGACCGCCTAACGAAATATCCGAAGGAAGAACTGGAGATTTTGGATTCGTACTTCAACAAGGCCTCTTTCATCGCCTCCTCTTATAGAGGTAATAAAAGAGAAGATAACATTTTTACATTACAAAACAACCACACAGATAATGAGTAACGAGAATTGATATACTTTCTGCTGAAATGTTTTACACGTTTCGAAATTGTTTAAGAAAAATATAAAATACACTCTTTGAAGAGTGATATCTCAACACTATTGATAATCGCTGAGGTGTATCTATTATAAATAATTATTATTCTATTTTACATTTTACACTCTTTGTATTTAGGCATCATATGTTGTACTGGATTGTCATACATCTTTCTACCGGCAATACCTCCTATTCTGAATATCATAAAACCACTGAATGAGTCACGAGGCCACGTATTAGTCTATCCGGCTTATTATTTTGTTGATGAAGAGCGATATTATTATCCCATAATAACACATATGACACTAGCAATAATAGTATTAGACATTGTGTATATCGCCTGTGACATCAATTTGATTTATTTCGTACACCATGCATGCTCTTTGTTGAGTATCAGCGGGTGAGTATACTTCAGGACAGGTGTGTGCATTTTGTCTTTTCTTTTATACTTGTTGTCAGAGTGATCGACATCGATAAAACGAAAAAACAGGAATATCTCGATATTTCAAATTGAAGAAACAAAGTATAAGGATGGGAAGCAGAAAAAACAATGGCTCGGATTTTGAATGATTGGTACCAATATCATTGTTTCAATAAAACTCTTCTTATTATTGTCTCGATGTCTAGAATTCATTTGTATAAATATCGTCTACTTCTTAATTTTACTTCTTCCTCAATTTTTAAACATGGGTTTTTGATTGCATTTGACCGAGGTAACAATATGCACAGGTACCGTTTCAAACACGCGTTCGATGGAGTGAGCTTATGTGACGGAAGGGACAATAACCTATTGCAGGAAGTTCACGCGAAAGTGTACAGAGCCATCGCGGGACACCAAAGAGCTGTCGAGTTAGTATCGGTTATTAGATAATAAACAATATACCTGTACGTGA